TAGCACTTGACTAATGGTCTAACCTCACTATTGGTCACCCACCCTATTATACCACTTCACACGGGAGATAAAGCGCAGACACCTATGATCAAGGACAGCTAGCTACCCAGGCTTTTCATGTCTTGCAATCTCAATGGCCAGGTCTTACACCCATAAAGGAGGACAGAACGAAGTGACTGCTGAGCAGTACATACGCCCTTTAGTCGATAGCCTGATATGAAGTAAAATAGTGAAATAAATTAGTCTGTCTATTACCTTAAGCGAAGATTAATTAATTAGTTATTATTAGACATGATATTACATATCAGGTACAATGACGAAATTATTCAAATCGATAAATACTTGACTGATAGAATTCAATCTCAACCAACATCAAGGACTGGATGCATGAAATTAGTTGCTACCTAGTGGCTAATCAAAGCACACATTACACTCCTACAGTGGGGGGGGCGTCAATCGCCTGCTCAGAATAGTTCAGTGACAGTGACAACGTCTCTGACTGACTGCACCACTGCGTGACCTGGGTTAGAATCTCAGAGGTGACATGAGCTCCCTAAAGATTGCAGATACGCCTTCCTGTGACCGATCGCCTCTATGATAGTTTGCTGCTACCTAACAAGATGACCACACTGCAAACTTGACTAATCAAATTCAGTCTGCATCAAAACGGAAGGAGTAGACTCATGTGCTATTGGTTACTTACCATCTAGTGTGTTCAATCTCATATTCGTATATGACTACTGATAGCTAATATCTTTCTATTGTTTTTATGATACTGTGTATCAAGTATTCAATCCAAGGTATCCAAAGCAGGGTCGTTTTCATTGTCGGATATGCTATGAATTATAATCGTGAGTGTCTAAAACACAGACCTTGTAGGGTCATTACTCCCATCACTCCATACGTAATAAGAAATTATTGATATTCAAGTGTTGTATATACTCCCACTCAAAACCTTCCTAACCATCATGGATTCATAATCGAATCATAAAAGCAAATAAACCTTGTGAATTTTCCTTATCATAGTCAAGAGGAGAATATTCTACAATCTTCTTTGTTTGGTTGAAGGATTTCATCATGAGGTGACAACACATCAGTTAGAGAATCATTGGAAAACCACCACTGGAGTACCGGACAGCCAGCTGTTTCATCAGCCTAATTTAGTACTCTTCATCAGTACGCACCCACCTCACTGTCGGGGCTCGAACCCAGCACCTTCTGGTTGCAAGGTGAGCCAGCTCATAGACCATTAAGCCACTGGGATCAGCCAATTCAATGACCAGTCCATGAATCCCAACTTCTGCAATCCACGCACGACCTAACGGCTTCCATTTAATGGTTCTCTAACCGATGTATCAGCTCATAATTTAAATCCTCCAATCAATCAAACAAAATCCCTACAAAGGAAAGAAACACACACACACACACGAATACTTGAAAAATGTTCTTTGTATTGTTAAATATTTTGAAGAGAGAAAAAAAGAAATGGCTACGCGGAAACACAATCACGTGGCCTAGATTTCAGATTACAAAAAAATAGTAGAGAATAAATAACCCAACCAACCAACCAACCAACCTATCAGGGGAGGACTGAGCTACTTTTCTTCTTCTTCCTCTACTTCTCCTCTTTATTGTGTATCCCGTTCTTGTTTTGCTAACGTACTAAAAATAGGACAGTTAAAAAAAAAAAAGAAATTGCATTAGAGAGAAATAAATTTATTTCTTGCAAAATGATTTGCTACCGATGACGATGATGATGAAGGATTGCTTAGGCTTGATACGATACATATATATATCTCCTCTATTTTGCCTCTTCTTTTTTTTGTGGAAAATTAACGAAATTCGTTTACTTCCCATTATTATTATTATTAGTAGTAGTATTGGTAGTTGTTGTTGTTGTTCTTGTAGTATGTAGTCATATCAACATTTATCATGTCGGCTAGGTTTTAGAGGTAGTCAATTGCCAAGCCCATGTCATACGCTATAAAGCTGATCTATCTCTTATCGTCGAAATCCTCTAATTTTCAACCAGCTTTGTGTTAACATGCCGTTCTTAATATACCTCTCTCTCTCTCTCCCTCTTCGAGTCTGTTTAATTCATTGACTCCAAATATTATTTATAATTACCTCAAATAAAACTAATTAACATGTTCATTAGATTTTTGATAAAAAGTAAATCTCATTTTTTTTTCCCGGTATCATATTTTACTCTGTCCAACGTGTCGTCAATGTTGTGTGTTATTTGGTAGTTGTTTAATTGTATGCCGTATAAATAACGTCACTATTATTATTATTATTATTGTTATCCATCCCCTCGTGTTTCAAGTGGAACACATTCAAGTTTAAGCGGCATAATATCTCCATTGTACTCGGTTTTATACCATGATAGTTGTTTAAAACCTCTCATTCCGTCCTCCTTTATGACTGTGAAACCTGACCTGGCTAGCTAGCTAGCTAGCTAGCTGTCCTTGATCATAGGTGCCTGCGTCCTATCTCCCATATTAGGTGATGGTATAATAGGGTGGGCAATACCCAAGTTAGGTGTCCGTCGAGTGCTAGATAAGTGGGTGGGGAAATCAATCAACTAGAGGTGGCTGTGAAACTACATCGACTGAGATGGCTAGGACATGTGTTACGTTATGCCTGGCCGTCGATGGCCTTCCTCGACAATGGGCCATGTTAGCTGACATAGGGTCAGGTTGGAAAAGGGTTGGCTAGCGGTGGTCAAAGGAAAAAATGACTTCATCAGTCAATGAAATAAATCCACAACAGTTAGTTTAAGCCAGCCATCCAGTTAGGGAGGGAGGTGTAGACTTCCTGACTAACTGGTTGGGGTCCTCGGGATGGTAAACAACAATGGTTGAAAACAATTGGTGATATGGCTAGCTCAAAATCGTCATTCTCTGCGATGGCTGGTGCAGATGCATCCACTCCTAGTGACTTATAATATCCAAAAAAACTATATTGTTCTTCGTTATTACTATTCCTTTTGTCTCATATCTCCGTTTACTGTCTCTAGTATGCATTTCTTCTGCTTTCTTCTCTTGCTTTGTGTGCTACATAGAGGGAGTGTGGCGACTTGGATTGTTGCACATCGGTGCAAAGTTCTATGTTGAAAACAGACAGACAGACAAACTTCATCACAAAACGCATATTAAAACATTCCTTATTGCTTAACTTTATGTTTATAATATTAGCTAGATAATCCTATACTAAAATAACGATCAGATTATTTCATCATTATATTTTGAAGATAAGCATTTCATTTATGCGTTAATAAGTAATACATATAGTACTCAACTTATATTGAATTTGAAAAGACTGAGTTTAGTCTGCAAAGAATACTGTTTTCCAGTGTTGGTTAGCAGCGGCTTGATAGATTGGTTATTCGCAATTGATTAAAAATATCAATTAGAAATGAGAAATTAGATGCAATATGATTTGTAATGTTTAACGTAATTGGTAACCCAAGATTTAAGCAGGCCGCCGGCTTGATTCCACACTGTATTTTTGGTACAAGTATGGAATTTTCAGCATGGATATCGGTAGCCCAAATTTTTGCAGGCCAACCATTGATGGTGTCAGGTGTTCGTCGGCAGGGGATCGAACCTCGGACCATGTGCATGGTTGGCGAGAGTCCTAACCACTGTGCCACCGACGCACAGGATTTCATCTTGATGAACTGACACATCGGTTAGAGGACCATTGAAAAACCAACCAACACTGGAGTACTGTTAGATAGTTGTTTCGTCAACCTAGTTTTGGACTCTTCAGCATTGCTTACCCACTCCACTGTCAGGGTTCAACTCATGATCTTCCGGTTGCAAGGTGAGCTAGCTCGCAGACCATTCATCAGCCACTGGAACCCGTCAATTCACATGCGATATAGCGCGACTGGCATTAGTGAATGTCTTCACACCCAACCATCTACTGTGCCCCACTGGTCATGACTTCCCACTAGAACCAACCCAGGTAACTAATAATTAGCTACCTACCTGAATAGGGCCATTCACCGCTAGTGAGCATCTCATTGATATATTCAAGTCAAGTTTTGAATCCATGGATTTGATTGGTCTGAAGGTTTCATTGCCAATGGATTTTTGTCTAATGAAGTTGATATTCACATCGGCGCAAAGTAGATTTGTCTTCTGATTTTTCTGCACGCTCCGGTGTTGCAGAAGGCTGGCTGATGATAGAGACTCTTCAGCGCTAGCTAACTTTATTACCTGTTTGGATTAGATGGTCTAATGCATCGAACTGTTGACAGTCTTAACTCCATGTTTATTTAACCACACTATTGGTAGGTGTAGAGGTGTTCACAAGGACAGAAAATTAACTTCGTAGAGTAGGCAACCATTGAATGAAGGAATATTTGATGGCGTTTTATTTAACTTTTATCAAAATACCTATTTTTTTTAAAAACAGATGTTTACCCAATTGTCTCTTTCTCTCTAATGTGTATTTTTCTCCTCGCTTTTCAGGTCCTCTTCACCAAAAAGAAAGAAGCGCCATATGGCCACATGATGGTAATATTTTGTGATTACTTTTCATTCTGTGGCATTATCATCTAACATTTTGACAGTGCTTTTTTATTTTTCTACACACACACACTTACACACATACATACATACATACCATATATATAAATATCTGCAAAATTTTGATTTCCCTTTGGGTTTATTATTTTACTGCTCTACCTCAGCTGATGAAAGCGCCTTTTTTTGTCCTCTCGTTTGTACATCTTAATCAAGGTCTGATATTCCATTGAAAATTATTAATATACTATTATTATTATTATTACTAATAATATAAGTTTATTACACACCATACGCCTGGTGTTAGTATCTCTGTTATACTTCCATATTACTACTCGGGGGAACACATTGTAGAGAGACGTTTGCTTTTGCATTCTTTCTTCTCAATTTCTTTATATCTGTGTGTGTGTTTGCCTGCTTTGTGCGTGCGTGTGTGCAGTTACCTCAACAACAGCGCTAATTTCCATGTCTGCATCATATATTCGTCGTGATACTACACTTGTCTCTAATCCGTGTCCTTTATCTATCCTTTCGACTGGACCATCATCTGCCTCATCATCATCATGTATAAGCGCCAATGAACATCATACAATCAGATCATATTCAGATCAAACAGGAATGCCTTCAAAACATAGTCCAGCAACAGCGCTACAACAACAGCAACAACAACAACCAAGTCAAGCTAGTATGCATTCACCAAAAATGTCACCAGATTCAACGCTTACACAATTATCATCAACTCCGTCGAGTTTTATGTCATATTTAAATTCATCAACAAGTCTTAGCGGATCGTTATTATCCTCCTCCTCATCGTTATTATCGAATGGTAATCCTATTTCATGTGATAGTTTTCTACGTACAGCTCTTTTATCAGATAACAATTATAATCTAGATAAACAATGCGTTGGTAGTACAACAAATTTAATGACTACTAGCGGTGTTAATAGTAGTAATAGTATACCAAATTTTCATGATCCAATCAATAATCATCTATCATCAAGTAATACTATTCAACCATGTTCATTATTACGTCCAAGAGCAATGACAACATCGAATGCTTCAAGATCAGGTACACCAGCTGGTGGTGGGAATAATACACCAACATCTGGTGGTGGTGGTGGTGGTGGGAGTGGTGCTGGTGTTGTCGGCTCATCAGTATGTGCATCGGCACCGACAAGTACAACACCGATAAAAAAATCATCAAGACGTAATCCATGGGGTTCAGAAACTTATTCAGATTTAATTTCAGTAGCTATACGTTCATATCCAGATAAACAGGCAACTTTACAACAAATATATGATTTTATTATAACACATTATGAATACTTTCGTGAACGTAGTGATCCGACTAGTTCAGCTGGATGGAAAGTAAGTCAAGAGTAATAATTGATTTATTGATTTTATTATTGGTGTTGTGACTTTTATTGAGTATAATGCGTATTTTATATGGATAACAAAGTAATTAGATGGTCGGGTGGCAATCGGCCAAAGGAGAAAGCCTTGGACGCTGTCTAGGTAGATGTATCTGTAAGTGCCTCGAAGAAATACATGTTGCCTCCGAGATTCGAACCCCAGGGGGGTTACCCAGCGGGGTAGTCGGTCAGAGACGTTGCCACTGAGTTATTCAGGCAAAGTCTTAAATGATTTTCTTCACCATTTGAAAAACATGTACTAATTTTTTTATTCTTTCACCTCCCCGGTGGAACATAGGGCTTCAAGCTAGAGGCTTGAGGTTTCGGCAGTTGCGGTGTTTATTTTTAAGAGATAGGGTTGCTAGCCCCATGCCCAACCTTCCCTCTTTACCAGTCTTATTACTGGGTTAGAGAGGTAAAGGAGTGTATCCGTTTACCGGGGATCGAACCCTGGGTCACGTGCGTGGTCGGCGAGCATTCTACAGATGTGCCACTGACGCACATATGCACTAATAGGGACAGCTAAATGACGCCTTCATTGAGTTTTATTATAATTCATCATTATCAAATAAAACAACACTTAATCTATCGGAAAAGATTATTGCCTATGCCAAGCCAACCGCCTTCCTCGATGAATCAGTGTTAGTTGGTATATGGTGTGGAGTAGTTAGTTTTTGGACAAGAGTCAAGGGCAAGGTGGGCGGTCGACTGACTAAGTCTTTGACAGTCGGGTTGAGTTAGCCACATAGAGGGAGATATAGAATGATTGGAGAGAATATTTGTGTGGTGTATGGCTCAAAATCGTTGTCAATGGAGTTGGTGGTGGTGGTGGTGATGCATGTGGTTTCACTCTTTCACTCTGGTCTCACATATTCACTTAACCCTTCTGATTTTCAATGTTACGACTTTTTCTTGCTCCCACAAATGTCTGTGCTCATTATAGTGGTGCCCTTTGGATTTCTTTTTCTCTATCTGTGTAAGTATAATGTGTGCTTCACGCTGTCTAAGTGTAAAATATTGTTACAAGATTGGCAGAGAAGCCTGTACCTGCACTCAGTCCTGTTGTAGGTGAACCTCCTGAAGTTGTTAATAAGTTTGTGTATCTGGGTGGTGGTGGTGGTGGTGGTGTGATGAGTGCTGGCGGAAGTAGGACGGACAAAATTTCTAACCGCATCATGAACGCTAGAAAAGCATACGTCAACTTGACCCACCTCTAGTGCCGTCGTGACGTTAGCCTGGCTGTCAAAGGCTATCGGGTTGACAATGCTTCGGTGCCCTTTGTTTTGCTCTACACCTGCGAAACTCAGTCAGTCTCTCCGACCCGAGGATGTGCGGCAACTCTGCATATTCGATCATCTCTGCCTCCGTAGAATTGCTTGCGTTCGATGGCATTATCGCGTAAGTAATTCCGAGGTCAGGTAGCGTGTGTTTGGACACAGTAGAGATCACCATTCATTGAACGTCATCATCTGAAAAAACAGCTCCGGTGACTTGGAGACATGTGCTACGAATGTCATCCTAGAGGAGACTTCTATACCGGTGGTCTCTGTTCGCTAGCCAACCTTGGGGACTGGATGGAAAAGGCGAAGGGGGTGATCAGCCTGTGATGATGTAGCGTCGTGAGATGAAGGATATTTGTGTGTAGGATTAGCATCTGTTGGGTCCGAGAAATAGTTCGAATCAGGTGGTGGATCAAGATATTTTGAGATATCCTCAAGAATTACAGTTTTCTTTTCCTCTTTCCTTTCTGACAGTAATACAACGAAAGTTTTGTTCAATGTTGTCAACTGTGTTACTTCCTTTCACAATGAAGTCCTTTATTCATTGTCCCTCGGTGTAAAGCACATGTTCTTACTGTCTATATTGTACCAGGTTTTGTGTTTTAAATAAATAAAAATTATCTGTACGTGGTATGTATATGGAGTGTGGCAACTTGGACGGCTGTTGCACTTTTGTACAAACTGTTTTATGTTGAAAATAGTGAGCGGCAACTGTGTTCGCTTTCTAAAACTATAATAAGTGGAACCCTGTACTAGAGGAAGAATATAAGTGTAAAGAGGAATAATGAGAATTTGATGGATCTAGCAGTTTAGAGAGAGAGAGAGAGAGAAAGAGAAAGTGAAAGATCTCCCGTGTGTATTGGTGTAATAAACAGGGTGAGCAATATTGAGGTTAGGCATCGGTCGAGTGCTAGGTAAGTGGGAGGGGAAATCAATCGACCAGAGTTGGCTGTGAAGTTACATCGACTGAGATGGTTAGCACATGTGTTACACATGCATCCTTAGGTATCGATCACCTTCCTCGACAACGGGCAATGTTAGCTAACTTTCATAGGATGGATAAGGTTGGAAAAGAGTTAAATGGCGTTAGTGGTAGTCAAACCAAGATATGGCTTCATCACCAGTCAATGAAATAAATCCAAAACAGTTAGTCTAAGCCAGCCATCTACGTAAGAAGGTGTGTAGACTTCCTGACTGACTGGTTGGGGTCTTGAGGACGAAAAGTTAATGTTAGCGGTTGGAAACAATTAGTGATATGACTAGCTCAAAATCGTCGTCCTCGTTGATGGCTGGCGCGGATGCATTCACTCCTTGTGTGACTTATAATATCCAACATAACTATATTGTTCTTCGATATTACTATTCTGTTTGCCTCATATCTCTGTTTTGAATCTCTTTTTACTTTCTTCTCTCGCTTTGTATGCTACATAGAGGGAGTGTGTGGGAACTCGAAGTGCTCCACATGTGTGCAAAGTAGTTCTATGTTGAAACTAGTCAGTCAGTCAGCTGGTCAGAGAGTGAAAGCATCTCTGTGTATACCATTGTGAACTCCAGTTAAGCAGGTGTTTCCTTCTAGGCGAGGACGCTGACAAAATGCAGAGTCTTCTAAACACTTAGAGTTGCAATCTACGAATGTTTGGCATGCGATTCGCTCCCGCCAAAAGCAAGATGATGTTACAATACTGGTCTACACCGACTCCTAGATTAGAAATAGGAAGCAAAGTGGTAGAGCACGTTGACCGCTTCACTTACTTGGGAAGTAACATCAGCCCCAACGGGTTGATCTCTGACGAAATCTCAGCACAGATACAGAGGGCTAGTTTCGCATATGCCAGTTTACGCCGTCTCTGGCTTAGTAGACGTGATATCCGACTATCGACCAAGCGGCGGGTGTACTGCTCATCAGTCCGCTCCGTCCTCCTTTATGGCTGTGAGACCTGGCCATTGAGAGTGGAAGACATGAAAAGCCTGGCTAGCTAGCTGTCTTTGATCATAGGTACCTGCGTTCCATCTTCCGTGTGAAGTGGTATAATAAGGTGAGCAATATTGAGGTTAGGCGTCGAGTTCTAGGTAAGTGGGAGAGGGAATCAATCGACCAGAGTTGGCTGTGAAGTTACATCGCTTGAGATAGTTAGGACATGTGTCACGTATGCCTAGTCATCGCCTTCCTCGACAATGGGCCATGTTAGCTGACATAGGGTCAGGGTGGAAAAGAGCTAGCGGAGGTCAAACAAAAACATGGCACCAGTTAATCAAATCCACAACAATTATTTTAAACCAGACACGTCGGGAGGTGTAGACTTCCTGGTTGGGGTCCTCGGGACTTTAAAATCCAATGAAGACTGGAGACAATCGGTAATATGGCTCAAAATCATCCTTATCAATGTCTGGCGCGGATGCATCCACTTTTTGTACTTTATAATACCCAATGAAACTATATTGTTCTTCGTTATTGCTATTCGTTTGTCTCACACCTCTGTTTACTGTCTCTAGTATGCATTTCTTCTGCTTTCTTCTCTTGCTTTGTGTGCTACATAGAGGGAGTGTGGTGACTTGGATTGTTGCACATCGGTGCAAAGTTCTATGTTGAAAACAGACAGATGTGTAAACTGTCTAACTCTATGACTGGCTAATTGGAGTCCTCAAAATGCCTAAGAAGAGAACTATAGTGGCTAAAGATTGCTGGCGCACAGAGAGATATAGAGAGAGGCCTTCATTCTCTCTCTCTCTCTCTCTATCAGCTCCTATATATCCATGGAATTCTCATTTTATTCTCCAGCATATTTATTCTTTTCTCCTGTACATTTCTGTGCATTATTGTTTTCTTTAAAAATTAGTTTTTCTCTCACTCTCTGTCCTTGTGTGTAGTATAAAGATTGTGACAATTTTAACTGCACATACACGCTGCACTTTTGTGCTGCAATGCAAAGTTCTCCATTGAAAACTTAGTCAGTTAGTCAGTCAGTTAGTTTGTGGATGTAAAAATCAAGTTTTTTTAAAATTTAAATACACATGGCTTTTGTGTGTTTAAAAAAATTATAATCCATGCAAGCAAACAGACAAGCAAACAAACAAAGTTATTGCACTTTTAAGTTTTAATAGATTTAAATTTAGAATTTCTTGTTTACATTTATATGCATATATATATATATATATATATATATATATATATATATATATATATATGCATGATCGGATCAAATTTTATGCCTTATACATTTCTACATTGCTTTATGATCGTTGTTTTTGTTGTTTGAACTTAGTCAGTTGTTATGTGGGACATATTGTGTGTGTGGGGGGGATGGGAGAGGGAGATAGAGACGGTTGATGATGTTGACGATACTGTAACTGCAGAAGGCAAGACAGAGAAGCCAAGGCATATTTTCAACTGTTCAAACCGCTATTCATGTGTATATCTATACTGTTTTATGCTCTTTTAACCAATCAGTGAGCGTGTGATTTTGGCTTACATTTAAACGACATGAAATAGAATGTTCAAATGTATGTATATAGTATTATGTGATGCTAATGCAGTATTGAACTGTGAGAATATGTGAGAATAATATTCCGATGGAATACACATTCATTGTCTGTATCACACACCACACATCCCCATTTGTCAAATACTTTCGACTGAAGTTAGTCCGATCCTTTTGTTTTTTTTATTTTTTATTTA